GACATAAATGACTTTAACTTGCATAAGCTGTGCCAGTGATAAATTATCTTTACTGTTTATAAATAAGACACAGCTTTAGTCTTCAACATTCAGTGAATGGATTTCTCTGTGCTAGTGTGAAAACTCTCTACTATGTGAGTTTTTTGTTTATATAGATATTAAATGCAATAAGAATGAAAGCATAAGATTTAAGAACACTGTGTCTTCGTGTATAAGCACATTTTCAAAATCTGTTATTTTTCTCCAGTGTTTTAGTGTTTCAGCAAAGAAGTGTAGAATTATTCCCATTGGACATTAGCCTGTTTATATACTCACAGATTGTATTAGTGTCTTAGTTCCAGTACAGTTCATTTGCTTGTGACCCTCCAGACTCCTCAGTCACACTTGTGAGAGGGAGGTCTCTACCTGGTAAATGCTGTATCCACCCTCCCTTGTCCCTCACCCAGCAAGTGTATGAACTTCAATGTATTGTAGTGAAAAACATTGTTTGCTTTCACTAGATCTGCCTGGCAGTTCTGGTCACTACACACGATTCATGTTGTTACTGATTTACTATTCTCAGAATCTCGTGTGTCATTAACATGGTCTTTTTTTGGCTGCTGAAAGATGATAACTAGCAAAACACAACGAGTTTGTCAAGAGTTCCACCAGGAACACACCCATGGGATTTTCTATTTACAGTCACATTCTGAGACCTACTCATTAGGTGGTATTGACTCCATTTGGTGTATGCAGTGCTTTATTCATTAAATACCTTACACCACTGAGCCAGATTCCTTAAGGAAGTCTGAATATGTTGATTATATACTACCACCTTCATTGTTGGCACGCTATGCCATTGGACTTCAGTGTGAAATGAAAGGAGCTAAGAGCTACAGGTAACGTTTTAGGTATTCCTTAGAGCTTTTCCAAGGAGCAGGGCAGTGGAAATGAGAGCATTTTGGACAACTGAAGCTTTTTAATAAACAGTATCTTAACTGCTTTTGAAGCTTTTACAGGGAGGTGGTCAGTTATTACCTCTTGAAAGATCTGAAGGGAACAAATAAGGTGCTGAGAAACATTCCATACTTCCTTTGGTGGGGGGAAAAAAAGCCTACTGTACTCATAGCTACTCTCTGTACTAGCAGAAACTTCTGCACTGCCTGCAGGATCACGGAGAATTCACTTGCACTTTGAAGTGTGAAGTGATAATCCTCACAACTGTTTACTTCTTTATTACATTTGCGGAAGTTAATTACATGCCCTGCTAAGTTACAACAAAAAAATCACAATTCTCTGATGCCAAGTAGGCAAGTGAGTTTTCCAAGCTTCAGTTTAGTCCCTCATGCTGTAAGAAGAATTTGGCATTGGCACACATTATTACTATCATTCATCCAGAGAGTTTATTAATGTATGCACATTTTTCTACACAGTAGTGTCTCATGAGCATGTCTTGGTAAGTCTCTTATATGAAATTTACATGTATTTCTTTGCATTAATTTATACTGCCAGACTTATTGTTAAAGCCCTGCTTAGCATCTGTGGATTGACTACTTGCCACCTTAGAAAAATGAGAGCAGGACATGAATTAAAATCCACGTATTGCATACGGCTGAATATACTAAGTATTCACATGTGCTAAGTATATTGCCATGGGTAGAGTCAGAAATGAACTGATTTTTAAAACAGTGGTAGTTGATATTCATGAAGTTTGCTCTATTTCATGTGCCTTGAGAACTGTAAGGAAATTGGATTTTGGAGGGTTTTTGGCAGCTTTTTGAATGGTGCTAGCTGAAAAACAGAACAAGAGGAACCCTCTCATCAAACAAGGCAAAGTGGATGATTCTGCTGGGGACAGATTGACCTCGAAGTGTGTGCATCTGGGGAGGCCAGATCTAATGAAACAAAGTGGATCATTGCTCTGTATTCTGTTATTAAGCATCTCGAAGTTAACTAGAGTAGTGATTAAATGTGTTTAAATGACTGTTACAGTGATAGTGAAGATAAAAAGGTCAGTTTGTACTCTTTCACCAGTTCTAAACAGAAGCAATTAATAACATGAAAAATGGTGCTACATGAGATACAACCTGAAAACATGCTTTTTGCATATTTGTTTAGGGTATTGGGGCAGCTGAGTGAAAAAAAAAGTGGAAATATTTGCCTATCATATTGTCACTTGTGTTTAACAATTTCTTGTTAAGGAATCACAATAAGTCTCTTCTAAATGGGACAGCACCATTGTTGCAGGGGAATCAGAACTAATCTGTCCCATTTTTAAGTTTCTGGACTGTCTGCCTGACATTGTGCATGGTATGACTGCTGCCCACATAGTCCATCAGAGAAATTCTTTGTGTCTCACAGTCTCACCAGCTTCGTACATAAATGCTGTATTTGCTTACAAGTTTCCATCGTTTTATTTAACAAAAGATTTCCAATACTTTGCCATCTTCTCTGCAAAACCAAAATGAAATTGCAAGTGTATAGCTGTCAGTTCTCTCCAGCATATTCAGTTGTTGGTCAGTCTTTCCCACGGAAATTGCCCGTACAATTCCTCCTTTAGAACATTAGTTGCAAACAGCACCAAGTCAGGTGCCTACATGAGAACTTAGAAAAATTAGGTTAGTGCCAAAATGGGTTTAGATGTGTCACTGTAGGTAGCAGGTGAATGTGGAAGGGCAGTTCTGATTGGCAGCTCTGTGCTTAAATAGGCTTTAGAAAGGCCAAACTTTATTTGCTGTGTTGATGCTTGAAGTTTTCTGGAGGTTCTGTGTTATGCAGCTCCCCTTACAGTATGATTAGAAAACATTTCATTTCTGCTTCAGCCTAAAATATTGCCTTTGATAACTTGTGCTATGATGTTTTTTTCCCTGTCATTTTTTTTAATTGACTCCGATTTGTATGTACTAACGCATTGGTCTTGTTGTGGGGGGAACTGTAATGCTGAAAGCCACATGGTAGGTGCCCACAGAATGAGTTTAAAACCCAAAATAGTGTGTAACCAGAATTCCTTCACTGCTGAACAGGAATCTTGGAGGTTGTCTTGATTTTTATATATATATCTATTTAAACAAAAGCAGAGGAAAAAGATCTTAAAAGTGCTTATGGGTAGAATTGCTTCCCTTATCTTGTTTATGCTGATAAATTAAAAAATAAAAAGCACAGAGGGTTAAAGATAAGATGGTACCACTGTTTTCTTTATGTGTAATCTTGTTGCATGTCTCTACATAAGCTGTTCTGGCCACTCATCATAGTAACCAGCTGGGCCATTTCACCTGCTGGAGCCATTAAAGAGGACTCTCTCCCCCTAGATTAATCCCCTCCGACATTAGTTTTTTGCTCTGACAACTGGAGCAGGCATTCAGAATTTGCAGGTGGCCAGTGTGACGCACATAATTGCCTACAATTTTAGGCAATGAATAAAAATGGTCTACATTACTTGTCAAAGGTTGTATATGCAGTGCCAAGTGAGATCTATGGGAAGCCTTTTAGGGTTTAAAGAACAGTTAATAGCAAAGCTGCACAGTGCTTTTTTAATCATAATGCATTTGTAATATAGCACTTTGATCTTCTCCTTGTAGGAAATGGTGTTATATTAGCCACTTTTAAACATTTATGAGTGAAATTCAGTTATAGGAGAGTAAAAGTGATTATTCTTAGGCAGAACATGTTAGATTTCATTAAAAGTTTTAGCTTGCCCCTTCCTTGTTAAAATCTGTGGGGAGTCCTGTTCCTGGAGGGTTTCAAATCAGGATCTGAAGATTTAGAAGAGCTTTTTCTTTTTTTCTTTCTTTTTTTTTCCCCCCTCCACTAAAGCTACTGCAAGACTAGAAAAGACTGTAGTAAATACTGATGTTATTTGTGGTTGTTTATAAACGTACTTCAACCGCATAGCATTAAGCGCAAAAAAATGTCGCGTGCTCAACAGTTTAGGGAATGTTTCCTAGTATTTCCAGGATCTTAATGCTCAGTTGCGTCAATTACAACCTAAAAAAAAAAATGCATTATTTAAAGCATGATCATAAATTATCTACAACAAAAAATAGGCGACTCTAAAATGTACTACTCCTAGAAGAGCCGAGTTTGACCTTTCAGACCCAAGAGCCTTTTATTAACACCTGCCTGTAAGGAGAACCGTGCCACACGCAGCTTTCGGATTCACGACCACAAAACTGATGAGGAAAGGCTTGAAGGGTTCAGTTTGTGTCACTTGCTGTTTGCCGTTTCCATTTCACAGATGATTAATCTTTCTGTGAAGAAAGGCCAGAGAAACAAAGCACATTGGGCTCTTCCTGCAGTTACTCCTTCTGAATGCACACTAGCTTGCTAACTAAAAGGCCTTTAGATTTCCTGCCGAGAGAGATGTTCTGAAAGTGAATGCAGCTGGTTGGAGGTCACCAGTGCAAGGCTCTTGCCATTGTGTAATGGAGGCTTTGGCAGGTTTCATTTTGGGGGGGGGAGGGAGAAGGTGTTGGCGAAAAATTAATGTGGAATAAAAAGGGCTTTGGCCATTTGAATTAATTTCTTGAGGGTGGATCATCAATAATAGGCTCCATTTCTTTTGCTCTCAATTTATTAAAAAAAAAAAAAAGATATTTGCTGTGGGTTTTTTCCCCACCCATTCCCTCTTCTTAATGGCATGTTTATATTGTGCGTGGTCTCTCCTGCTGGATGCTGAAATGTCGTGTCTTACTGAGTTTGAAAAGCAGTCTGAAATATACTGATTTTTACATATATTTTATGAGCTGTGCTGATTTTCGTGTTGGTGAGAGACAATACTCGAGTATTTAACTTCCTAATTGTGGGATTTGTATGGTGTTAGTAATCCATATTGCTCCTTAGTGACTTTTAAATCAGCAATTTCAGTTTTTCTGGGAGAGTAAAAATTGTTTCTAAAAGATATAATCTAATTTTTAATTTGTGTGTATGTTTTGAATGTTAATGTGTACATTCCTTGTTTATGGGAGAGAACAGTCTGATATCCAGCTGAGTTTTTGACTTTGTTTTTTCTTGATCCTGCATAGGATGTAATGTGCAAAATCAAGACATGGGTAATAGATGAAAAGAAAGCTGTCCGCTTCTATCATGATTGGAATGACAAAGAGGTAGGCTATAAATATTATCCCATGAATTGACTTCTAATTTTGCTACCTGTTACTGGCTTTTTTTGAAAGTGTTTTTTTTTTGTTTTTTTTCTTATATTTCATATTCATAGTGTATCGGATGTTAAATTTATCAGCTGATTCTGTGTGATCTATATATTGGACTTGAGTTTTGCCATGAAGAAAATGATCATAAAATTAATTCAAGTTGGTATAACCTGTTCTTAAAATTCTCCTCCTGTATTTTCGCTTCTAGATTGATGTTTTGAACAAACACTTGTTTTTTACTTCAAAACCGATGATCTACTTGGTTAACCTCTCTGAAAAAGACTACATTAGAAAGAAAAACAAGTGGTGAGTATGTACAGGTTAAATGTCTAAATTTGTTTGTTTCACATTTTTCAGTGGTCAGTAATTCCTTGCACATTTAGGTCACCAAGGATATTAATTAAAATAGGAGTGTAAACTAATCTTACACTTCTATTACGCTCCCATTGACATGCTGCTTGAATGCAATGCATAAGGTGAAACTCTGAATGAAACTGCAGAAAAGAATATGCTTTCATTACATTTTTACATGAATCCGTTAACTATGAAGAAAATTTGATTTAGGACTGACTTAAGTAAACATGTGGGTTTATCATGTTATATAATCCTGATTGTCTGAACAACATCTTTTTCATTCCAGAGGAATGAGTTCAATGCCAGAGGAAGAAAGCTATGTGAGTTGCACAGGAATCTTTCAACCTCATGGCCAAATTGCCCATTTTCACAGTAGTGTTCTGCTTGCAGTTGGCTGTCTGGCTCTCTTGCCACTGCTTGCACGTTTCTTGTGGTTTACAGGCCTGTTTTGATGGGCTTTAATGCCAGGAACAGCTCAGGTTTTAGTCAAGTATTCCTGACATCAATATTGTGACTCAAGTACATGATGGTTACAAAATCAATCTATCAGGCATTCAGTGAACTGGATGAAGATCCAGCCTTAACATGGTAGACATATGGTGGGAATCCGCTGTGGAGAAGTACAGCATTTAGCATGTCACTGGAAGCTCTAGATGGGATAAATATTTGTTTTGTGGAGGAGGGAACAGATTAAGTAGTTAGTATATAATGAAGAAAAATCTGAAGCAGCGTATTTAGTTTTAAAAAACTAAACTAAAGCAAACTACAAACCTTTTCTTAGTATTCAGAATTTTAAGCACTATACTTGTGAGACACTTTGCAGATGTATAAACCTATGTTTGTGAATAGATCTATGCGTGTAACTCATCCAGACAAATCAAAAGTATCTAAAGCGGAATATCTGAATTCTCCTAAAGTACACCCTCTGTTTCTCCCTGTACTTCATTAAGTACTTAGATGCACATGGTTTCAATTTTCCATTAAAAATTCTCATTTCCATATGATATCAAAGAGTGAGAAGGCTTTAAACTGAAAAATAAACATTCATAGACTGGAAGCCAAAACAATAATTAATGTCAGATGGTTAACTCCAATAAATCATTAGAATAAATTCTGTGAAATTACTGCAACTAAAACTGTCCTTTTGATACTCCAAGACATTTTGTGTTAGTATTAAAGAACAAAATTTAATGTGTTTTAGTAGCAAACCCTCTCAGCCTCAAACACAGACTTTGGAATAGGTTTGATAACCAATATAATACTGTAAGCTCTTCATATTTGGCCAAATTTTATCATTTTGAATTAATTTATTCCTTCTGTGGATGTTTTTTGATTATGATAGTTTAAACAGAAGAAGTGATTCTGCCCACAAAAGTCTCTAAAATCAGGATAGTTACATTTGCTCTGCTCCTGTCAGGTGGTATTTTTTTGGAAGTACAAATGCTGAGGTTTCCTAGGGTTCAGTGTAACAGTACAAATGTGGAAGTTTATGTGAAAATGGATGAGTTGGTTTTCCTGCCCAAAAAAGGATCCTTGCACCTGTATTTGGATGATTACAGGTAGAGCTCACTGGCTCTAATTGTACAGTAAATACCATTTCCCAGACCTTAATGGTAGCCAGACTGCTTAGGAGACGCCAGTCTGTGATTTAGCTGTCGCCAGCCACCCCATGTTTTTTGTGAGACTAGTTGTGATGATGACATAGTTAAACCCAATTGAAAACAAATCTTTCTATAAATTGCAATTTTTAATTTGTTAAAAAATCAGATGTTTGAGTTGAGGAGTCATCTAATGAAACAGTTTAACTGTTTCTATTACAATTAATGATTTAGTTTTTTTAAAAGTATACCCAGATCTCATGGATGTGAGTGTAATTGTAGCTGAAAGATCAAAGGCTGGGTATCTGAGTGATGTTCCAGAAGAGAATTTACCACATAGCCATTTTCAGTACAGTTTCTGCCTCCTGCTGTTCCTATTTTCCCTCAAGCTAGCCATTGACTACCCCCTGTGCATCCCTGCTCGTAAAAAATGATTGAGGAAGTATTTGTCATGTATTTATGAGTGGGAAACATTGTGTGATAGGGAAAGGCATCTACTAGAACCAGAAAGATTGCCATTTCCTTTCCTTCAGCCACTCTGCCACAGCTTTAAATCCTCTGTTTATGCAACATAGCTTTTATATTTAAGAGCAGAATAAATGTTTTCTATGAAGGATGCTAACGGTAGGCTGCTGTCATTTGTGTGCTGTGAGCAGATGTAAATGATTAGAATATATTTTGCTGTTAGATGCCACTTCGTGATTTTTGTTATTATTTTGAGGGGTAGGGATTCATACTTGAAATGCAAGCCACATTTAGACTAGTCATTCTTCTCGAAAAAGTTTATTTCTGAGCTTAATTCAGAGTATTGCTATAACAAAACTAAGGTTAACGCAGGAAACACTCAGGGGTAAAATGTTTTCATCAGACTTTTGCAACTATAAAAGTGTTTAAAGCAGCAAAGGGAGAGGAGAGGCTTTTCGGTTGTGGGTGGAGAGGAAAGCTAAAATTGTCTTTGTTTTACTGGGTCACTCTTTCAGAATTAATGAACATTTTAATTGTTAGTTAAAACACACATTTAAGTGCTAACGTGTTATTTTTCAATCCAAGAAAAGAAGAAAACACTGTGAAAGATAGCACTATTGTGTGTTTGAGTAGGTGTATTGACCTTTTGAAAGATGTAAAAACTGGAATGGCTCCAAGCAGTTACTTGCTGGTTTTAACAATGTTGAATTAGTCATTCAGTTGATTTATGATTAAGACCTAGCCCCTGAAGAGAAGCTGACATGGCAGCTGTGTTAGTCGCACTTGTGTTATGATCAGATGACAGTAATCATGATGTTTATGGGGGAATCCACTGAAACCATTCTTACTACATATTGCTGTGTTCTAAATGAATACTTAACCCTTCTTTTAATCATTCTTCATGTTTTTTATGTGGATGTAGGATCTTAACATGGTGTGCGTGTATTTGAGTTTTACCATCAAAGTATTCAAAGTAAGCCTATTAATTTTCAGTTAGAAACTGCTTTCTGAGTCACAGGATGTCACGTAAATCCAGGACAGCAGATTTATCAGCCCTTCATCTAATTAAAGGTTTACATTTTAGTCTTGATAAAGAGGGTGCTGTTAGTGGCTCATAATATGGATTCCAATTACGAAATATATTGAGCTAATTAATGAGCAAATGTAGTGGACCATGCTTAGCATCCTGTTTGCTTTGGTGTTTTGGACTTGCTCTTTGCAGTGAGCACCAGGAATACTGCATGTGTCAGAGCTGCATAAACTGAGCCTTGGCTCAACTTCTCAGGTCTAATCAAGTGAATTTTTTCATCCTGTGCCTAGACTGTGATTCAAACAGCTGATTATGCTGCTAAGGATTTTCTGTTATCTCTAGCATGGTAACTAAATTATCTGAGACTTGATATGGATTTTTGAACATTGTTTTTTCTAATATAATTCAGACTTGTTGAATGTCCAAATGTATATAAACACTATTTTTACCAAAATGTTATGGTAGACATTCTGTTGAAATTAAGTTGGGTGTTGATGGGATAGGGGACTTAATATCTTACTCCTGTGTATTTAGAAAAGTGCCATATATGTCATAATAAATAACCTTTCTTCCGTTAATTTTTATAGCATTTTTAATGTTCTTAAGCTAGAGGAGGCATAATTAGGTTAGATGAAAGGTATCTTCTGGTATCATGTTTCTGACAGGCCACTAACAGATGTCCAGGGAAGATTATAGGAACAGATGAAGCAAACAGTGTATGCATCCAGCTTCTTGCAATCTGTTATTGTAGAACTGATTAAGACAGATATGATATACTTGTGGTTAATACTTTTGGACTGATTTTTATTCTATGAATTTAGCCACTGACCTTTGAACCCAAGTATACTTTTTGGCATCCCAATATCCTGGAGCAGGGACTTCCACAGCTTAACTATGTGCTATATGGAGAAGTACTTCCTTATGCTTGTTTTGGATCTGCCACATCATAATTTCATTTGATGCTCCTTAGATCTTGTAGTATGAGAGTGAATAATCCTTTTCTATTTGTCTTTTTTATATTGCTTCAGATGTTCCAAATATTTTTTCAAAAAATGGAGGGGGTGGGGAAATCTGACATGAAGAAAGAAATATCAAGGGTCAAGTACAAGGAAGGCTCAATAGATTTGAGTATGAATTAATCTGCTTCACTTGGTCTTTCACTTTTAAACTAGGTAGGAAAAAAGTTATTATCTGGTAGTAAATAGAGACTTGGAGTTCTTGGTTGTATTTCTGAGGGTATGGATATTAGGCAGATATGTTTTATTCTTATAAATATAATTGAGATTGTATTTGTAGAAATTTTAATATCATAATTATGAGTTGTAATGCCATTGTGGTATTGAGATGTTTTCTTGACATAGCTGCTTAACCATTTTAAGGTTGTCTTCTATGCTGACAGATTTGGAAAGAATTTATTTTTTTTTAAATATATTGCACTTGTTGTTCCTGCCTTGCAACCAAAATGTTTGTAAAAAGTATTAGGAGATGACTTATGTTTTATGTGTATTAATGAAGTTATGCACACACAACTCGAGAAGTCAGATACTCAAAGTTAACCAGACTCAGAATTTAGGCATCCTGTTGCACCTTTAGTGCCAGACTGGGACAGCTGAGGTGTTTTAACTGGAGGATTGCGTATGTTTTCCATAGAGCACTTACCTAGTGCAGTAGGGGATGGGGCATGCTGTTTGCTTAGCAGTTATTCTTTATTGTTCCTGAACAGTGTGGGGACACACTGAGCACCATCAGCCTGTGGCACCACAGCAGCTGTGCTTGCACCAGGGCTTTGAGACCGCTGTGTCCTGCTTTCCAGGCCACGTATGCCTGCAGATACAGAATCTGTAGGAATTGATCAGCCA